TTAAACAATATTCTTTTCTTCGTTCTCTATATAGAAAAAAAAAAAACGTGCAGGCTCTATGATTCTTGTATAGATTCAAAAGTCTTAAGTACGAAAATATCAAGCTAAAATTGGTCGTCTCCGCCAGTGAAAGTGCAAAGGCAGCTGATGATCTAGTCGAAAATAATGCGCTAAGCATTATCATAGAGATCACTTCGCATGGATGCAGTCCGATCGATCGATAAGCCGTAATTTATGCTTATCAAGCTTCGAACGCCCACCGGCTCCACAGCGGAGTTCAATCAAAATTCAAATGATGGCAGCTACGTGCGATCCGTAACTCGTGTATTTTGTATATCGATTTGGGTTCGAGGAGGGCGCGGCATAGGGCGGTGTTTATCACACTGATGGAATGACAATGCGACCAGCTGTGTGACATGCACATCGTAAGGTCATAAAAATCCAAATCTCTTGGCATTCCACCATGCGCCTCTCGTGCCTTGCCTTGCCTTGCCCCTCACATTTGCCGCAATTAGGCGGCTTTTTGACGCCCCAGCTTGTTGTCAGATTTGTGGAGCCCGGCAATATGCTCCGCTAGGGTAAAGCCAGATTTTGGTGTTAGTATTCTTTTTATTTCATTTTCATTTTCATTTTGTTCATGCTGTGCAGTTTAGCATTTTATGATTTTTTAATTTTATGTTGATGAGCCTCATTGCTTGCATATTTGATTAAAACTTTTGTTGCTATTGTTTTTTCTTCCTCTTTGTGTTTTATATTATTTTTGTTTATTATTTGTTTTGTATTGTTTTGGTTTTATTCTTTGTCGCCTTTTGTTTTCCTGAACTTTAATTTGAGTTTATCTTTTACTGATTCCACTTAATGCTTTTTGTTTTTTATGTCTCTTAATGTGACTTCGTTACATTAGAGTCGATTTGACATTATATATCAATATTTGTGGAGATCTGCTCACAGTTGGACGCCAAATATACAATAAAAACAGCTCCAACTTGATTTTAAGATAGGTTATGGTTCTCAATGGCTGGCAGTGCCAGTTTATAGTAACTTAAAAGCTGTGGAAATTTTTCCAAATCATATGCAATGCTCAAGAAAAATACGTCGATCACTTGTTGATATCATCACAATATTTATGTTTATTCTAATTACATCAACTCTCAATAATTGGTAGAACTTCCAACTGCGCAGCGAATTTCAAACTAAACATCTATAACACTAGATTTTCGTGTTTAAGTTTTTGATTATAAAAACTCATATCCATTATCAGACATTCATTTGAATTAAAAGTAAGTTAAGAGTCATAACACAAATCAATAGCTGTCGCTTGACTCTAGCCCTTAAGAACTTTCGTAAAATCCACACAAAATACTCCAAGCACTCACACATTAGCACTCCCACTCGATCAAAGACCTCCGCCTCCATAGCCCATAACTATGTATAAGCATAAAGCGTCTAAAATTGATTTAAAATGATAACATCTAACAATTAGAAGGCCTTCAGGTCTTTTGCCCAATGCTTTATTTTGCCATAATTACGATGATGCATTTTAAGTGCACAGAACTTGATATCGATAGCAGACGCGACGCCCATTCCAAAAACCCAACACAAATTTTTAACAGAAAAAAAATCATAAATTTAAGACTCAGACAGACTCAGAAAAATAACAAAAAATTCCACAGGGTGACTAATAACTTAATTAGAAATCTACCAGAAGAAGAGAAACAACCAACAAAAACAACTTGAAAAGTTAATAAGTTCCGACTCGATCGAGGCTTTTTATTGAGTGAAAAACAAACCGAACCAAACCGAAAAATCTTTCAAATATCTACAATCAATGACCATAAAAATTCCAAGCATAAATGCATTTTATGTGACTCTCTCGGCTCTTGAAGCCAAAAAGATCTACGTTTTATTTCCGTATCATCGTGATGTATTAAAAATAAACATTTCATTTAGTCAGGCGCGTTTCCATTAGATTTTTCCAGTTCAATCCCAATTGAATTGAGTAGAAAGCGAATGAAAATGTTTGCTAATTGATAGTACAGTCAGTTGAAATTTTCTGAAGCTATAAATAACTTGTTTGTATACGTAATTCAAAGAATTGAAATTGATATTGATTTGTATTAGAAGTATTAGTAATAATTAATATCAAAATGTATGTTTTCGCTGAATATTCCAATATTTATTAGCGCTAAGATGATTCTAAATCCTGTCAAATATTCATTTAGTCATTTAGTGTGAGAAATATTTTTATTTTGAGGCTTGCAGCACCTGCCAAATAAATATCTTTTAAGTTCTCAAAAAGCCCACTGTATGCATAGTCTCTCCTCTGTAAAGATGCTTTTAGATGTCATGACAACTAGCATAATTACTCATCACACCCACTCCGTCCGAATGCATCTATTGACTACTCACTGAGAACCCCCTGAAAATGCCAAAGATAAACAATGCATGTTGACTTGATGCTGGCTAAAGGCAACCCTCTCCAACTCCAACTCCAACTCCAGCCCCAGCTGCAGCTTCAGCTTCAACTTCAAGCAAAACAAACATGCGGCCAGTGGAACGATTGCTGCTAGCTGATGGTGCAGTGGCATGCACTCACAAGTGCAAACTTCAGAGTATTCCCTTCTCTTCTTCTCTTTCTCTCTCTCTCTCTCTCTCTCTCTCTCTCTCTCTCTCCCTCTCTCTTTCCCTTTCTCTGTCTGTCTTTTGTGTTCCCCATTGTCGTGTGTGTTACTAAACTAATGAAATCAATAAGTTATGCGAATTCGCCATGAATACAACAAAAGGCCCGAGCATCGAGTTGCCTAGAAGGAGTCATCCACTAGTTGGCCCCAAACGCAGGCCAAGTGCCCGCTGCTGCCCTGGCCAAGGTGTGAAGCACAAGAGTCACTCAAGCGCGCTGGCCGTGGACCCTGTCGGGCTTATGAAATATGAGAGCCCACAATGGCAGCAGTCCCCCTCCCATCTTACCACACTCGTACTCTGCAATCGCCTCCCTACCCCCCCTGCCTTTTACCTGCCAGCGCTCGTCTTTTGCTTGGAATTTCTGTGCATAAATTTAATTACTGGCAGACGCTGTCGCCGTCGCAGTCGCAGTCGCAGTCGCAGTCGCAGTCAACGTTTCTGTTGAAGCTGAAGCTGAAGCTGAACCCAGTCACCTATCAATCTAACTCGAGTGGCTTTTCCCTGCTCCATTCTGCCTTTCTTTGGTTGCGTTCAAGTGCTTTACTTATTAGTGACTTTTGTGCCTGCTCGCAAGTTCAATAGCCCTGCGCCTCCACGACGATGACAACAGCGGGGCGTGGCCAAAGCTACATTGTTAGTTTATAATTAGTATAGAAGAAAAAAAATGAGAAAGAGAGACACCTCAAGAGAGACAAAAAGAGAGACAGAGCGACGCAGGGTGTATGTACTTGAGTTTATGTTTAATGCATTTCCCTCATTTTCTATTCCGCCGATAATAATCATTAGCTGCTGCTGCTGCTGCTGTTACAACGGACAGTCTCCTAAAATTAGAACGCAGCACACCTTGAAGCGTCTTTCGGTTTGTTAACTGTTAGGCAAATATCAAACATGGCGCGGTTGGCGCAACTGGACCCGAACTGGCCATCTTCGCACAGTGGGACCAGTTCATTAGGCAGCCAGCGAAACGCTTGATGAGCACCATGATGAGCACCGTCATTTGTGTTCCCACAGTCTAATGCTCATTTAGTTTACTGAGGGGCCTATGTTTATTTCGCCGACATACCAAGTCAGTAATTCCTCTATTAGTATCTAGGGTCGAGTAATGTCGAGTCGGCATCCTAGTAATAGTAGTTGCACTGCCGATGGTATTCGATACTCTCAGACCGCAGAACAAGGTTGTTAAAATTAATTGTTAAATTATTATTTCTGAATTAATAATTTTTGAATATGTTTTTGAATATGTCGGCTATTGTTGCAGATTAGATCATTTTTGAGTGCAGCATGTCCCTGCACTGCACTATGGTCTAAAGACGCTATTTTTTGGCATAAAGTCTAATTTTCAAGCTAGAGTGTTCAACTTTCACACATACTTGTTGGATTATTAAGTGAAAACCTGTTTTGTTTGTGGTTCTTCCCTGGTAGCTTTTAATACCTTCTTACCTTAATATAGCATGTAATAAACGCCGAAGAAGATACTAATTTTTTTTTTAGCCATATATTTTTTATCCATATATCTGAATATCCATCCATCGAAAGCGACGAAACTCATTTTGGCTGCAACATGCAAATTTCTTCGAAAAGATGCAAAAATACGGAAGGGAAACTTATTAGATCCGTTTCAAAACACTTTTACACAGAACATACCATTTATAGTTGGGTGATCTAGCGTGATCACAAGTAATAGTCCATTCATAAGAAACTGATATTGAACATTGATTCCATCTACTTGGGTAAAGATTTTCCAGATTAACAATTTTGTTGTACCTCTATTCAAGTTTAATTATATTTAGGGTTGCATATAAAAAGTGAAAGCTTTTTTATACTATGCAACGTTCACAATTAAAGAAGGTGCTCTGCGTCTTCAATTTAATTTTCGCAATTAGAAAGCTAGATTCGGTGGTCTTCTACATGATATATACATAATTAGAACTAACCATTCCCAATAAACTCTCATTCAAAATCGTAAATTGATAAGATATAAAGCCTTATACAACCGAATAGCAATTTGTGTAACCTTAAATAATTTACACACTGTGCAAACGAATTTGGAACACGTGTCAGGGTATGTAGATGTTGAATAAAAAAATCGATGTACTTATAAGCAAATAATGCAATTACCTTCCGATTACATATTTAAATCAGCGCTGTCCCCCCGAACCGCAGTGATCTCGGCTCGCTTTGACACGCTTAGTCACGAAGCATCCGTGTTTGCCTTTAATTAAAATTGTTTTTCCCAGCCAAATATTTGCATCAATTAATAGACTCGCAGACGAACACATGCAATGCCTCTAATGTGGTTTCTCTTCTTCTCTTTACAGAAAATATAACGATAGTCGGCCTCACGGACTATGTGAACAACGAATTCAAAATAGCACTGTTCGCAAAAGAAACGCAGAGATATTTGTGTTTCAACGACAACTGGAGATTAGTTGGCATGGTAAGTTACCTTGCTTACTTACCTTACCTTACTAAAGAATTCAAGTCCAGTGGTCGGTGATCATATTGTGAATGACTCCAGGTCTAAGACACTAAAGTATTTATTGACCAGCGAAATCTAATTCATGATTGCATAGCATAGCGATTATAATCACAATGTTGATTTTAAAACGCAGCGAATTTAATGGTGCAACAAAAAAAATTTTGTCGCTGCTAATTTTTCAAATAAATCAGCTTTTGAACTTTGCTATATAGAATCGTATGCATATGTATTTTGTATTAGGTAAAAATAAATTATACTTATTATATGTATTTAACTTTCAAATAAATGCTTACTTTAATTGATAAATTATAGTAGACGGCAAATAAATTAAAATCATTATTTATAAGACATAAAAAAAAATTATAAAATATTTCAATAGCACGTTTGAGAAAATGATAAAGATCCCCCAAATATGACCCAACATATTTGGGTTAGATAATAAAAACTACGAATTTTGATAACAACTCAATCTAGATGAAGCTCTTGGAATTCCCCGCTTTGATGATGATAATATAAATTCAAATGAGTTGACATTATTTCATTGGCTTTCGGTTTATTGCTTCCTAGGCGATAAAAACAAAAGCGAAACGAAATTGTAAAATATTAAGTGCATTCCCACTTCCCAGCAATTGCATCTTTATGGCAGCACACAATATAATGATATGTACTTAGAGCCAAGGCCCCGCGGACGCCTTGTAACAAATTTGATTACATTGCAGTGCAATGAAACATTGGATTGGATTGGATTGCATTGTACTTGAAACACCACCGCCGCCGCTTTATGCAAACTAACTGTACAAACACTATAATTTATGGCATGTAGCACATAATGGTTTTTATGCAAACGAGCCATTATAGCGACAATGGCGATACTTGAACGATTTGGCCAAATTGCATAAATTGCGAACTCAGCAGTGACAGGGCGCTAAGCGCCGCCTCACGCGCTGCAAAAACTAAATAATTCTCTCTCTTTTCGCCTTTTTTCAAATGCCGTAAATTATACCCTGTAGATAGTACAAAAGTTGTTTTCCATTTTTTTCCAAATTAATCATTTATTTCAAATCCCCAATTTAATGATGTAGATTATCATTCCTATATATGTAGTATTTCAGTGTTATTTGTATTTATGAAGAGTCAGATATTCGTAGTAATAGAGTTGGTCGACTACAGTCTCCTAGTGAAGAACAGAAAAACTAGCTGTAGTAACAAATACAAAAAGAAGTCCAAAAACAATTCCAAAAGAATAAAATTCCAAAGTTATCACACGTTCTTTGATCAAAATAGAGAACGGCAAAAAAAAAAAAAAAAACAAGCTAAAACTAGGTATATTAAATTTGAGGTTAGAAATAACACCCATTTTATCTGCTACATTAAATTAATACGTTATTTTTTACCTACTGTCACTCTTAAGTTTGTCGCCACTACTGGTCATCTGCCAGCAAAGCTTGCAAATCCATTACTGGAATGTTATTATTTATTTTTACTAGGTTAGGGATTAGAAAAAACACCCATTTTATCTGCTACATTAAATTTAGTAAGAGTATTAATAATAAGTTATTTTTTTCCTACTGTCACTCTTAAGTCTACCCCCACTACTGGGCATCAGCCAGTCAGTCACAAATCTTGCAAATCCATTGCTGGAATGTTATTATTTATTTTTACTAGTATTTTTTTCTTCGAAAACCCGTTGCAGTTGAACCAATTCTGTCATGCAAAATGCGCGACAACAGAAAAAAATAACTGTTTATTAAAATATTGAAATTTCATATGCAATTACAGACACAAAAAAGTAAATAAAATAACTGCTTAGAGACAACAAATTGATAGCAGTTAGAAAACAACAAAAGTGGCACAAAATATGTTAATTTTTGTGTTTCTCGGTGGCTTACGCGGCGTATGCGTAATGTTTGCATAAAACCGAATACTTTAGAACTGCTTCCCTGCGTAACGCCTAATTGCAACTGCTCTCGGAGTCCACCTATGATGCGAATTTCTCGGGACATTGTAACAGTTATCGGGCTAACTAGATTATTGCCAATGTCAATTGTGCGGCCAAGCACTCCAAAGAGTCGAGTGCGTTGCATAGATTCGTCATCATAAAAATCAATCATCGTTTGTCGACAGATTTTTCAAATGGCCGTACATGACTTTTCTCAGATATATCTAATCTATCAATCTAATGACGAGGCATTTTATGCTGTAATTGCAAAAATATTTCAATGTCCTTTCATAGCTCGCATTACGATTTGTACAGTTAGCTGGAAAAAGCAAACAACGGCAACATTGAATGCACATATATGACTTGTGTGATCGGCTATTGTGAATATATCTGTAAGGTCAAAGCTGACACTTGTCATTTTATTGCTTTCGATTATGACCGCAAATCCCAACTTGAATTTATGTGCAAATACTTGTACTGTGATTTTTCGCTCCCCCACCTTCTTTATAGAATCTTATAAAAAATTAATTTACAGTTTTGCCATTGAAAATTAATAGCTTTGACTATATGATTAGGTTAAGGTTACGACATGTTTGATAAAGTTACACCTTGGAAGTAGACCCAACATACCAAAGTTCGAGTGTTCTTCAGTTAGTTATCATTATTATCACACATTATACTTACTATTGAGTAATTAAGTAACTATCAATAGATAAAATAAGATAGTTATTAAATATTGATTGTATAGCTAGATCATCAGGAAAGATTCTTATAGTCTTCATCAAATTTTGAGTGTGTAAATTTAAGTGTGTAAATTTAAGTGTGTAAAACATAACTTTTATAGAATCATAAAATATACTTAAAACAAGTAAGAACGTTGCCATCGAGCATTACCGACTGTGGAATACTCATTCACACCCCATAAGCAATTCAGTAGCCAAGTTACTGTAGAAAGTGCAGTTTTTCTCGATTTGCCCCTACTGGGCGTAGACACTTCACTTTTGGCTTACAGGGTATTTTTTGAAATGCCACGCCCTCAAAGAGGCGTAACAATATTATTTGGATAATCGATAAATGAGTTTACTGGTAACTTAAGTATCAAAATTTGAAGCTTCTAGCTCTTATGCTGGGCGGACATACAAATTTAATAAAGCTCTTACATGCTCCACTAATCTTTATAGAATCATAATATTAGTGTTTAAAATTTCGAATTTTAGCTTTCTAGCTCTTCAACTAACATGATTTCTGGCATAACGGAAAATGCATTTTTCCGACTTTTCACGCCCCTAATGGCGGATCGGGAAAATTTTAGCACATTATAAATCCAAATTTCAAGTCTCTAGCTTCGATAGCGCCGAAATGAACTGCGTTCGGACGGACAGACGGACGGACATTCACTTTCGTGAATGAGTATAACAAGAGTCCTCTAGATTTCGAGATACCCTAAAGCATGTTCTGTTTAAATAATATGTTATATAATACATGTTGTACAATACATGTTCTGTTGTGCATTTTAGCTCGTCAATGTGATCAAAAATATATATACCTTACAGGGCCACGAAGCCTTATGCCTGTTACCCTGTCACCCCGATTTCCCATTGTCAATGAGTTCAGGGTATAAGGAATTACTTTTAAAAAAACGTAGATATACTGTGTGTTAAAAAAGTCAATCAGTAAAGAGCGCTGAAAAAACTTTAGAATAATTAGAAATGACTTAGATCACTTTAGCTGAAGCCAACGCAGAATTGAACAATACGTGAGGCAAGTAGCACCAATTGAGAGCGAAAACAAACTGTGATTGGTTACTGAGGGGCCACAGCTGTGAGTTCGCTTGAGTGGCCGCTGAGAAGCTGTTCAAAAATAGCAATTAAATGGCTATAAATACTGTGAAGTAGCACCGATAGCTAGATAGGTCGGCAGACGCAAAGTGGAACGACTAAATATGGCATAATTGCTATGCGAGTTGAACAAATTCTTATCTGCGTCATCTGCAACTTTTTGAATAGAAGAACAATCGAAATGGAAGATTGGGAAGTAAGATAGATGCTGCCACCAACAGCAGCAGCAACAACAACAGTAATAATATCAGCAACAGCAGCCGTTACAGAAACTATAGCAACCACAACAACAACAGCAATAATCAAGCCGCGTTTCATTTCGTTGGTCGTTTTTGAATTTCAAGTGTTTTATAAATAAACACACTCCAGCTTCACTATTGTTGATGCTGTCAGTGTTCTTGCTGCTTAACCTCTCACTTGCAAGCGCTTGTCAAAATATTTTCGACAGGCTGATAATAAATACAGCCAGGAAATGCCGCTTATAAATTGCAGTGTCAAGTGTAGGGAACTTGGCCTGCCTAATGTCTGGCTCAAACACTCTCTCACTCTCTTACTCTCTTTCTCTCGGTCTCTTGCAGAAGGAGCTGCGCGATACCTGCTACTTCAACGAGACCATCGTGCACGGTTATTTCGTGTTCCGTTCCGTAGTCGATCTACAGCGACGTGTCGGCTTCACACACCGAGGTAAGCCCGTGGGACCGAAGAAGAGCGTCAACGATGCCTGCTACATGTTCAATAAGATCGATGCCGAGCAGTTTTTCCATCAGCACACGTTACCAAAATGGCGCGAGACGACAGCAATGATGGCCAACGGCAGCAGCAGCAATCAGAGCGGCAACTATCGCAAAGTCTCGCGCAACAAAAACAATCGCCACAAATCGAATAACCAAAATCAAAAGTTGCAGCAACAGCAACACGCGCATCATGGCCATAATAGTAGTAATAGTCTAAGTAGCACTAACAAAACACAGCAACAACAATTAGCATTAGTACGTAATCAGCAACAACAGATGCAGCAGCAGCAGCATCGTCAACAGCATCAGGTGCGACATCATCACAATGATCCCTCAGTGCTGGCGCGTCGAAAACAGAGACGCAAGCAGCAGCAGCAGCAACAACGAGTCACAGCTAGTCCAACGAAACTAACGACTGCCAAAAGTTCAACATCGACAACATCAGCAGCAGCAACAACCAAAACGACGAAAATATCACTTGCTAGCAAGCGCAAGGGCAGGCGAAGAAAGGCACGAAAGCAAATGCAAAAGCAGCAACTACAACAGCACGAGCTGCAACAATTGCAGTTACTCTCTACCGCAGCAACACTTGATATCAGCACTGACGATTTGCTTTCTAGCAGCAGTTTTTCCACAGGGTACGATGAGGGCTACAGCAGCAGCAGCAGCGGCAGCAGTGAGCCCTGGTCTACTTGGTATGCCACGCCCACAGCTACAATTGACAGCTTTACGCCAGATGTAGGCAGCAGCAGCACCACCACAAGCGCCAGCAACATGTTACTAACAACAACAGCAGACGATAGCATTCAACCATATAGCAGCAGCAGCAACAGCTACGATGACGGCTCTACATTCATCACAGAGCTAGAAGCTGAGGTATCAGGAGCAACAACAGTAACTGCAGCAACATCAAGCAGCGGCAACGATACCGACCTGCTGCAGTACGAGGCGGAGGTGGTTGAAGATGACGAAAGTGAACAGCTAACCACGGCTAACTATGAAACCAAAGCAACATCAAGAGCAAGAGCAACAGCAACAGCAGCATCCGCAGGAACAACAACTGCAACAACTATACCAACAACTAGCAGCCAAGTGGCTAAAACTACCTCAACAACAACAACAGCAACAACAGCAGCAGTGACTAGCACACAATTGGTGCTGGAGCAAACGCCGCTAGCAGCAACACTGGCTACACTTAGGTACAACAAATGGCATACAACGCAGCAGCATGAGGTAGACGCTGCTATGGCCAACACGATAGCAACAGCAACATCAGCAGCAGCAGCAACATCAGCAGCAGCAGCAACATCAGCAGCAGCAGCAACAGCAACAACAACACCAACAACCACAAGCGGAACAACAACAGTGACAACAAAGTCTGACTTGGCGATGAGCACGCATAAGCTCAGCAGGCATCGCGGTATCAACAGCAGTGCGAGCCCTAGCGAGCAGCGGCAACAGTTGCTGCGGGACAGCAACGGCAAGCAGCAACAGCAGCTGCAACTACACAAACTGTTTCGTCCGGCGACAGTCGTGACCACGTCCAGCACGCAATTACTAACGTCACTCGCAACAGCAGCTGCAGAACCGAAAACTGTAACAGCAGCGGCAGCGGCAGCTGCAGCAACCGTTGTTGTTGTTGCCACCCCACAGCAGCATATAGCAGACAAACTGTTTAGTGTTTACAAAAACATTAACAGTAATCCCAAAAACACGCTAACCGAAACAACACCCACACCAACCGCAACAGCACGAGCACCAGCAAGAGCAAGAACGACAGCAACGATTGCCACGACAGCAACTACGAAAAAATCACTGCGCAAATCAACACAAAAGCTGCTGGCCACGCCCTACCATCAGCTAACATATGTACGCAACGAGGCGGGCGACATTGACATAGATAATCTGGACAATATTAGCGTATATCCCGATGTTTTCGAGGATATCTTAAATGATAACGATGACAGCAGCAGCAACAGCTCTACAACAAACAGCAACAGCCGGCTGACCTTTGTCAGTGGCTTCCTGGCCACCTCGCCCACGTCCGTATTGCCCGAATCCATACGCATAGCCAAGATCAAGATCAACAACGAGCGACGCCGATTGCAGGAGCGCAGTCAGCGGCCACTGCGCAGCTTTGCGTAGTACTCAGCGAAGAACGCAAGCAACAGCAGCAGCAGAAGTAAATTGTGGGCTTTGGGGCGATGGGAATGGGCCGGACTGGTGGCTGGGGCCTTGACAATCGGTTGGTAAACGTATATATATATATATATATATATATATATATATCATATATATATATCATTATATATATATATAAATTAATAGATATACTATATAATGAACTGATACATATACACACATATATATAGTTAATTATATATTTATGCCACAACTCAGTGGGTGCAGTGCAAACACTATGCAGCACTGAACTACACACTTATACACTCACACACACACACACATACACACCTAAATGCATTCAAGCTAACAAGATATATATACTCAGGCCATCAAAATGAAAGGCGAATCGTTAGTTGAAGTTGGCTTAATTACCGGTAATTACAATTTATAATTACTAAAGTAATTTCCACTTAAATATTTAATTCGAACTAATTGCTTTCAAAAATTTTACTCACCAATAACCTAAATATTTGTTCTGGAATTAAAATGAGTATAAAAATAATAATTAGAATTGAGCTTTTAAAAAACTTAACTTTATGAAATCGTTTTAATTATTTTCCCAATAAACCTAATAACTTTCCTGGTAATTAGAGCTCTATTTATGACAAAACCGGCCTCAAAATCAAAAAACAAAAAAACAGACATGAAATTACACTCACAGATCTTCAACAAAGATCAAGCACATCAGTTCCATGGAAGAACTCGCAGAACTGCATACATAGTTATAAATGAAAGACAATAAGAGTTTTATTTACGAGTATGAGTATATGCTTTATTAATAAAAAAAACTGAAGATTGTTAAAGAGATGCAGAATGCATAATTAAAGCAAAAATTAAATACCAATTTAAGATGTCAGCAAACGATACCATTTAAGAAATAAATCTTTAGACGCACTGAAAGGCAATGGGAAAATTAAAAAATAGAAACTTTGGTTTACTAAATCAAGTAAATTTATTAGCAATGGGATTACATACTGTATTAACTGAAAAACTAAGTATATACGCATAAATAAATATATTTTCAAAATTTTATAATGAACCAAAAAACAAAATGGCAAATTAGTAAAACAAATTTAATAAAAATGTTTTTTAAATTCATACGCAAGCAAAACAAATAACAAATTCGCACAGTTAAACACTTCCAAAAAATAAAAATAATAATAATAATATAAAAACGACAAAATTTAAAAGATTAAATTTAAAGAGTATACAAATTGGATAAATATTATAGGCACCAGAAAAAAATTGGCGCAGTTGAGAAAAAACAAAAACAAAAATACAAATAAACCGAATTTTTAAAGCAAAAATATATGAATAAACGCGTTAACTGCTGAATTACACAACACTGCTGTTGAAATAACAGTGTTGCACAACATTCAACTTACAGCACGTAGAAATAATACTAATTAAAAAAAAAATTCTATAAACCTTTTGAAGCTTAGCAAAAAAATAAAGAAAACGAAAATAGCTTTGAATGAAGCAATTTTGAGCAATCCAACAGTATCTAGTTATGAAAAAAACAAAATTTAAAATTGAAAGTTTTAAATATTAAAACGAAATTATATACATATATGGAATGTATATGAATCTTACGGTACATATATATATATATATATATATATATATATATATAGCGACAAACACCAAAATTCACACTGAATAAACGTTATATTTATTAATTAAATATGCAACTAAATGAGTAAATGTAATATCAAAATAAAACACAAAACCATTATACCCTGATTTCCCATTTTCAATGGGTTCAGGGTATACGAAATTAAGCAAAGGGGAAAAAGAAGGCAACCAAAATCAACTGCTGCTTTTCTACATATATATGTGAATATATATACATATATTGAAACAACAATTGTTTCTCGTATATTTATATTAAAATATATTATTAACATAATGAAATTCAAAACGTAAATAGTTCAAAGAAATTAGCAAACCAAATAACAAATAAATAAACAAAATTTAAACACAACAAAATATACTAAAAACGAATTACAAAAGGCAATTGAACAAAATACTGAGAAAAACGCTCGTCAAGATTATATGTAGCAATATGTATTAATGTAAATTAAACTTTAATAACATTAATGAACGAGTTAATGCAAAAAATGCTTAGGTGAAAAATTTAATTAGTGTGTACTAAAAGCAAGACGAAAAAAAAGCATGAACAGATGTCGATTTATAATACAAAAACAAATTATGATTACCTAACTAGACACTTCAGAGAAGCATTGACATCATTTAAACAACGGCAACTACAACAATAACAACAACACACATACAGTAAAGAAAGGAAATTAATTCTAAAAATACTAATTTTAAAATCAAACCTAAGTAAACAATCAAAATTGAAGTTGAAATTGAAATTGAACTACTGTACTTAAATGCGCGTTGTTGTTATTTAACATTTTATGTTAAACGAACACCAATATATAAACAAAACGATAAAACAAAGCAAAAAAAGCATAAAAAAATTCAAAACTAATTGAAAATCTTTATTATATTTCATTCGTACTACTCCTACGGCTAAATATATTTATTTAACAAAAAAAGGAAACAAAATCTAAGCCAGCCCAGCCCAGCCAGGCACGCGCTGCTCATTCGTCATTTGTAAATTAATTTGCACCAACAACAACTATTCATATTTTTGTTTGTTTGTTTTATTTTATGTTTTATGCGTTTTTATTTTTCAATTTACTACTAATTAAATAATTTTAGCACTTAATTTTAATATTTGTAATTTAGTTGCCCTGTTTGCCGCCATTTTGCATTTTGCATTGTAAATTGTAATATGTTTATTTCTAAGCCGCAGCATAATTGTAATTATTTATGTATAAAGCAAACAACACATGTATAACACACATACCACACTCACATACACATCTATACTCTCTCTAAAACCTACTTACTCTAACCCTATACTCCTATATAAACGCTTGTTTGATTGCATTTTTTTTGTATTAAAAAGAGTAACGCAAAATAATAAATGAATAAAGAGCGTCGAAAATCGAAACAAAACCACAAAACATAGATTTATTTATCCTTCCTAGTTTTCAAATGTGTGCAGAGAAATCGTATAAATAAAAACTATATCTAAATAAAACAAAACCAATCAAATTCCATGAGTTTCTCTGGGAGTGGAATAAATCTTCTAAAATCCCCTAAAACCAGCCTTGGGAAATACCGATTGGATTTAGATCCTAAGATGATTTCGCTATGGGAAAGAATAATTAGGAATTGAACTGGCTTCAATTATGCGTATTTAAATTGCATAATTTAGCTGATAGTTAGACGTCACTCGCATCGTTTTCAGTGCTCAAGTCGAGACTGCTCGATCCACAAAATCCCTCCAGGAATTTTTCTTGTACAATTTGGAGAATTTACATTTATAAAGAGGCATGAGATATAATCTTATGATTATGATTTACGAATCGCCAAAAATAAAACAGGAATAATTATCTATTTTTTCATTCAAGAGATCGACTTACGTGACTTACGTTAAGAAGGCTCTAGTCGAGACTGCTCGACTAGGAGATACCCTGAACCCTCCAAT